TGGTGTTGTCAGCACCACACTCTCCTGAGTGAGCCACGGATCAACCCTGAAAACAATCTGATTTTTAAAAGGGAATGATTTGAAAAGCCTCTTCAGTTGGTTAGAATACAGTGTTGTAACACCAAGGTCAAGGGTTCAAATACCTATACCAGCCAGCCACCAAAAGAAAAAAAAAAAGCCACCTTAAAGAACTTATATGGATGGCAAATAAGCACATGAAAAGATCCTCAAAAGCATTAGTCAGAGAAATATAAATTAAAACCACAATAAGATACCACTATACACCTATTAGAATGAAGGAAAGATGGACAATACTGTGCAAGTGAGGATGTGGAACAATTGGAGCTCTCAGATTGCTGGTGGGAATGCAAAATGGTACAGTCACTTGGAAAACAATTTGGCATATAACTTATAAAATTATATACACTTACCATATAACCCAGCAAATCCTCCTCTTAGATATTTACCCAAAAGAAACGCAAAATATGTCTATACAAAAATCTGTATGTACCCTAACATACGGAGTAGCTTTATTCATAATCATCCAAAACAGGAAAATGCCCAAATGTCCATCAACAGATAAAAAGGAATGAATTACTGATACATGCAACAGCATGGTTGAATCCCAAATGCATTATGCTAAGTGAAAGAAGCCAGATTTTTTAAAAGGTTACATATTATATGATTCCACTTTATGACATTTTGGAAAAGGCAAAACAATAGTGACAGAAAACATTTCAGCATTTCCCTGAGAAGGGTAGGGAGAAGGCAGTGACTACAAAGAAGTTCCAGGGAACTTTGTGGGAACAGTGGAGACGTTCTATATGCTGACTGTGGTAGTGGTTACAGAACTGTACGCCTTTGTTAAAATTCACAGAAGTTGAGTTCCGGTCAAGATGGCGGAAGAGACGGTCCCCAGCATCACTCTCTCCCATGAATCAACCAATTTACAACTATAAAAATGTAGCAACAGCCAAGCTGAGGCCACTGGAGCTCAGGGGAAAAAGAGGAGAAACCTATGGAGTTCATGAAGGGGGAGAAGCCACGATGAAAGAAAGAAAAAACTGCTTGGAGCATTTTGGGCCACAAACGCTTTAAGGCTAGAGCTGCTGAGGGTATGGAGCAGGAGCCAGCAGAAGCCACAGCTGTGCCCTTCAGATGGAGTTACTTGGAGGCAGCAGGGGAAAAGGGGGCCAGCCTTAGTGGCCCTCAGGACAGCAAGACCACTATTAGGGTTCTTGTGGACCCACGCAGGAGCGAGGAGCCAGAACAGCTGAAAAAGGGGAGCCATTCAGAAGCCATTCTCATCGTAAGGGAGGGGCACAGGGCCCATCCCATGGAAAGTGTTTGGAGCATGGGCAGTGGGAGAGACGGGCCCACCAGGGGAACTCGGGGACACAGCAAGGACAACTGATACGCCCCCCAATCAGCGCAGGACCACTCAGAGGAGACTGGTCAGGAATATAGAATTGCATGGGGTGCAGTTTGATGAAAAGACTCAGGCCCAAATCAGAGTTTCTACACAACCCAGGTGCACAAGGTCTCTGGAGAGCTGGAAGTACCTACAAGGTCAACCATTAAACCCTGAGCTGCACAAAAAGTCTTCCCTAGAGAACAGCAGCAAAGCAGCAATTTAGCTTAACAACACAGCTCAAGTACTTGTTCCCACAGGAAATTCCCCATTTTAGAAATAAGCAAAGGACAAGAAATTAGTTCCGGCCCAGGCATACCACCAGCGTCTTCGGGCCACCAGCAGACCTGAGGTATGGAGCCAGGGATTGGACCCTAATCCCACATCCAGGTAAACTGCCAGCATCTTTGGACCCATCCAGGGGCCCAGGGCTTGGAGCCAGGGACCACACCCCCCGCCCACAACCAGGCACACTGCCAGTGCCAAGGAGCATGCCCAAAACATCACCTCCATGTGGGTGGCCCACCACAGTAACCTCAGCTGCTGCGAAAGTGGCTAGATGTCACAACCACCATGCGGATGGTCCACCAGCCACTGGAGTGCATTGACACAAGAATCACCAGCAGAGACCAAAGAAAAGAATAGGATATCTCTCTCCATAAAGCCCATGCCAGAGTGACAGAAGAAGCATCTGCTCTATGATAATATTGGGGGACCAGAACAAACCTTTCAGCATTGGACAGGTCATCTAGGCAACAAATCAACAGAGTAACCATTACTCTTTCAGAGGGAGAGAAGAAATCTTGGTTATCAGTGGTGGGAGGGTGGAGGGAGAGGGGGATAGGGAGAGATTGGACAAGGGGCATAAAGAACAAGTACAATTTGTAACAATATGCATACTAGTAATAGTTAACATATGTTAACATTGAATCCCAAAATTACGTATAATCAATTATGATTAAATAAATAAATAAATAAAATAAAATTCACAGAACTTTACCACTAACAAAGGTTAATTTTACTATATGTAAATTATGCCTCTATAACCTGACTTTTAAAAAAGTTAAAAGGCCAGTCCAAGAAATCCAACATTCAACTAATAGGAGTTCTGGAAAAGAGGAAATGAAGAAAAAACAAAGGGGAAGAAATCAATAATGAAATTACTCAAGAAAATTTCCCAAAACTGAAGGACAAGTTTTTTAGATTGAAAGGACCTACCCAGTGCCCACTAATAATGGATAACAGACCTATACCAAGATATATCATCATGAATTTCTTAATACTGCAGATAAACAGAAGATTCTCCACCCTTAGAAAGGGAAAAACAAGGAATCAGAATGGTCTCAAACATCAACAACAAATACAGAAATGTAGAAGGCAATGGAACAATGCCTTTAAAATTTGGCAGAAAAATTATTTCCAACCTACAGTTCTATACCCAGCCAAACTATTATCCAAATGATAGGTCAAAATAAGGAATAAATCAAGAAAGATGAGAGGGGATACAGAGAAGAGAGGATCTAATAAAAGAGAAAGGAGGAAGGAATCCCCAGAATGAGGCTGGAGGCAGACCTATCTTGTTCCCCCTCAATCCCCCAAAATAAATTCTGCTCTAAACACAGAGGCAACTAATCCCATTTGAAGCAGACTAAAAGGCCTGAGAGAGAGAATTGATAGAATACTTGATGTGTCTGAACAACATGAGATAAACTTAGACGACTGGCAGAAAGTTTAGGGTTGAATTGGTAAAAAACACACAAAAAATGAAGCAAACACAAGGCAATTAAAAATTCCGAGGGGGCCGGCCTGTGGCTCACTCGGGAGAGTGTGGTGCTGATAACACCAAGGCCATGGGTTCGGATCCCATATAGGGATGGCCGGTTAGCTCACTGGGTGAGCGTGGTGCTGACAACACCAAGTCAAGGGTTGAGATCCCCTTACCAGTCATCTTTAAAAAAAAAAAAAATTCCAACGAGGGCCGCCCCGTGGTGCACTCGGGAGAGTGCGGCGCTGGGAGCGCAGTGACGCTCCCGCTGCGGGTTCAGATCCTATATAGGACTGGCCAGTGCGCTCACTGGCTGAGCGCAGTGCGGGCGACACCAAGCCAAGGGTTATGATCCCCTTACCGGTCACGGAAAAAAAAAAAAAAATCCAACGAAAATAAGTTTTTTAGGAAAGTAAAAGTATTAATGAGTTAACATAAACATGGAATACTAATCTAACTAAAATTACAAAGTTACAACGAAAAGATGTGGTATGTGTGCATATGTGGTGGGGGAAGTAAGATGGGGGAACTATTTGACTCTTTAAACTATGTGCATATATAACTTATTTTTTATCAACTATAAAAAATAAGACAAGGGGCTGACCTGTTAGCTCAGCTGGCTAGCTGATAACACCAAGGTCCAGGGTTTGATTCTTGTACCAGCCAGCTGCTCCCCCCCCCCCCCGCAAAAAAAAAGTTCAAAAAATAAGACAAGATTCTTGTTCTCAAGATATTCACGAAATAAGTACTAACAGAAGTAGGTTCAAAGCCCTGCAAGAACTTAGAGTGCTTAGGTGGGAGAAATTAACTCTACATAATATTTAACACACATAAATGGTCCCTACGTTCCGATGGCTTGATTCACAACTTTTCATTTTTTGATGGTGTGAAAGTGATACACATTATCACAGTAGAAAGTGTGCTTCGAGTACCTGTACAACCATTCTGTTTTTCAGTAAAGTATTGAATAAATTACATGAGATGTTCAACACTTTATTATAAAATAGGCTTCGTATTATTTGACTTTGTCCAACTGTAGTCTAATGTAAGTGCTCTGAACACGTTTAAGGTAACCTAGGCTAAGCTATGATGTTCAATAAGTTAGGTGTATTAAACACAGTTTCCTTTTTTAAAAAATTTATTTATTTATTTATTTTTTAAAAAGATGACCGGTAAGGGGATCTCAACCCTTGGCTTGGTGGTGTCAACACCACGCTCAGCCAGTGAGTGAACCGGCCATCCCTATATGGGATCCGAACCCGTGGCCTTGGTGTTATCAGCACCGCACTCTCCCGAGTGAGCCACCGGCTGGCCCCTAAAGACAGTTTCGACTTAGCTATATTTTTAACTTAGGAGGTTTGCCGGGACTCAACCCCATCATAAGTCGAGCAGCATCTGCATCTTGGCCCAGAAAAGAGAACAAAGTTAAGCGGCCCCAGGTCTATGAGTCAATCACTCATCACTGAGCAAGCTGAAGCACACAGATGTGAGTAAGATATGGTCCCGGAGCCCAAGAAGCTCAGAATCTGGAGGTGGAGAATGACACCTGAAAAGGTGACTACAGTGCAGGGTGGTGAATGCAATCTACGATTAATCCTGATGCCAGGAAGACAGGCAGGGGGCGGGCGCCCGTGCAGAGAGCAGCACTCACCTGGCTTACGTAATGCGGAAGGGTAAACAACGCCAGCTCGGGGTCCAGGCTCCGTCCCTCCCCTAACCCTACCCCAACCCGGCCCCGACCGACCTAGGGAGTATCCTTTCTCGGGGATCGAGTCCCCAGCCAGAAGTGGTCCCCCGACCCTTTTAAGGCTGAAGCCAACTCACTGACTCGGCCGCCGCTTCCTGCTCGTCCACTGCCAGGGCCCACGAGTCGGTGGCCATGGTCCCGGGCGCGGGTGGGACGCTCGCGCTGGCGGCCTCGGCGGATGGCGCGGCGCGACCGTGGGATCTGGGGGGGTCGCGGGGAGCACGGCTCCGACCCCACCGAGGGGGAAGTCATTCGCTACAGCGCTGGGGACCGGAAGCGGCGCGCCGCAGTGACGTCGCAGTCCGTGCCCGCCCGGCCGCCCCTCGCCCCCTTCGGTCTGTCGCTTCCTTCGCCTTCAGAGCCCCCAGCCTCCCCCCTGGGGAGCGCACGCTTTCTCACTAAGCTGAAGTAGTCGTTTTAAAAATGCCTAAACTCCGGTCAACCAAAGAGCAAAACCACATTCCCGCCAGCAGAGAGGCAGAGAAGATGCTCACAAAGATTGAATGTATCAAAACCGAAAACCATTACACAAAGTCACCAAAATACATAAACCAGCAGACAATTGTTTCAGGTTGGTCACTTAAAATGTCCAGGCGTTGTCAGACCTGTCAAACAACCCCATTTAGTTAAAATTTTGTTCCAATGGGGCAACACCACTCCTAGGAATTTAGCTTTGACAATACTAAAGGAAGGTGCAGGGAAGAGTCCCAGGTACAGCATCAGCGACAAGAACGATTGAGCGGGTTTGTGCAACCGAACAGATACGTCCCTGCGGGAATTGACAGGAGCCAGGAACGCAGAGGTCGGTAGCAGGTAGATGACAAGGGCCAAGTAGAGCAGCTGGATGAACAAGTGCATGATCAGCCTCCTACATTTACTCCCATGTGACCTCAGGTAGCCTCACTTTCCTCTAAAATCATAGAACCCACCTCATGGGTGGAGGATTCTATGAGATCACAAGGCTAGGCCTTGGGCCCAGTGCCTAGCCTGAGGCGAAGGTCCATAAATACTAGCTGTTATTATTATTCCTCTCCTTCTGCCCAGGGGTCGGGGTTTCTGCCCTCACAGATACTCACATCGCCCCAGGCAGGATGAGCGGAAACCGCCCCAGGGCTCCGCCTGGCATGTGGCCCGCAGCCCAGGCCATCGCAGCTCAGCATGGCGGTTATTCTCCTGCAACCGCCGCTCACCGCGCTGGACAAGCCCGAACCTCACGGGCTGAGGGCGGGAAGCCAGTCCCGCCAGCCAATCAGCTAAGTCTGTAATTTTTTCATTAGTGAAGGTGCTATCTCAATAGCAATAACTCTGGCAGCAGAACAAAGTTATTGATACTATTACAACCGATACTGTTTTATGATGAAAGTAGAATTTGTACATGCCTTTCGACTTTCCATTTTAATTGTGGTAGCACAGAAGTCTAACTCATTTCTCAGATTATTTAAGCTAAATATATGCTACTTGGGGCATATATTTATGTGAATCAGAACAAACACTTGTCTCTTCTGGGTTTTGAAAGAAAGTGAGCCGAGACACTGGGTACCGTTCAAGCTTTATTAAAGGAAAAGAATCTGCCAGGCTGTGCCCAAAGTGGGGGGCAGCCCAGGGCTGCCCTCAAAACGGGGGACTGCCCCAGGTGTGGGGGTGGTAGAGCTTATACAGGATGCCAAGGGCTGGCTGATATAATCAAGGAGGGGTATTATGCTAATGTGGGTCTGGGTGGAGAACTGTGCTCTTGCAGAAGCAAAAGGGGTTTCTGTTTAAGTCATGAGGCTTCTCGTAAAGGGTAGGGGAGGGGGTTTGGTGCTGGAGTAGAAGACAAGGCTGGCGGCTATTCTGTGCTTACTGTGTGCACAATGGTGCCGGTCACGTCCAAAATCCCTCAGTTTTGTCCTTAACTGTGTTGTTTAACCTCTTCCTGCCTCATTTTCCTCTGTTAAAATCAGATAATAAAAGTAACTCATGGACTGGCTCATGAGCTCAATTGGTTAGAGGTGGTGCTGATAACGTCAAGGTCAAGGGATCCCCATCCTCCACTGGCCAGCCGCCAAAAAAAAAAAAAAAAAAAAATAGTAATAATAGGGTTGTTGTGAGGATCAAAAGCTTAGATGATCAGTGCCTGCATCCTAAGTGCTCAACAAATGTTAGATATGGTTATTATTAGCGAGTTGCCATGAACTGGGAAATTAAATCAAGTGGTTTAATTTTTACTGGCTTTTGAGCTTGACTTTCTATTTGTATCACATGCTCTTTTACATAATAGTACTATGATATTTTTCCAAGTTATGATCAGCAGTACACAACACCTGTGTATTTGGGTATATCAAATGATGTAGGTAATAATGCAGTGATTAAGAGCATGGGCTTTGGGCTTAAATAGACACAGGTTTAGATCCTGACGCTGCAACTTACTATTCAGCAAGAACTAAGGCAAGGCAGTTTCCTCATCTGTAAAAAAGGGGGTGCCGGCTGACTTAACACGCAGTTTAAAATTTAAATGAAATGATCTACGTACAGGTTTAGATCCTGACGCTGCAACTTACTATTCAGCAAGAACTAAGGCAAGGCAGTTTCCTCATCTGTAAAAAAAGGGGGTGCCGGCTGACTTAACACGCAGTTTAAAATTTAAATGAAATGATCTACGTAAAATGTCTAACACAATGCCTTTAACGCCAACGCAAATAGAGGACCAGATGCCAATCCAATTGTCCCTCAACTATTGTCATTTTTACCACACCAAATTTAAGATCTGACACGGACAAGTGTATCCATCGGCACAACAAGAATCCTTGAGGTCTGCAATATCATTTTGCAACTAAAACGAACAGAGCTATACCAAGACCTGTGACCTCTACCAAACACGTTACCGTCTCCCCTTATTAATTACGTCAACTGTTAGGACTCTGCATATGGAAACGAAAATGTCCGTCTCCAAGAGATTTAACCCTATCACGTGATGCACCTATCCCGTCTTTCCCGGCCATTGCATCAGCCGATTTAGAGCCGCCTCCTCAGAAACCGACTGATAAGCTGATTCGTTCTCAGAGTGATAGGCATATTTATTAACCAATAACACCTCTTGGCGTAAGGCAAGGCGGGCACTTTCCATCGGCACGCTCTGATTGGACGGGGCGGTGCGGGTTGTGGCTGGTGGTGGCCGGAGTCTGGTACTGCTACGCCTCTGCGGGAGCAGGTAACAGGGGGCACCTGGCGGTGGGATCTGACGGAGGAGTTAGGGACGGAGATCCTGGAGAGGAGCAGGCTGGCCTCGGAGAGTTCTGCGGCGTTGTGGGTGCGGCTGAGCCCGGTGCCCTGGAAAAGCGTGGTGACCGCAGCGGGACCCTGGGCCAGGCCCCGCGTGGCCTCGGGAACCTCGGGCTGGGCTGGAGTGGGAGTCCGACAGTGGCATTTTGTCAGTCCGCTGGAGTGCTGGCGGTGGGGCTGGCTCAGGTGGCCTTTCTGAGGACCGAGACCGTGAGAGGATCACGGTTGCCATCGAGTAGCCCCCCAAAGCAGAGGTTTTATCTCCCCTGGTTTTAATCCCCTAGGAACCGGTGGGGCGGGAGGAGCGGTTAGGACAGAAGGGTGGTCAGTATGGGCGGAGTCCCTCCTGTGAACTGTTCCCTACGTTCTTAACTGAGTATGTGATACCGGCCTAGGCCCACCGGGACCATCACGTTCAGCTATGACTTTTTCAGACGGTCCGCATTTCCCGCTGTGCTCTGAAGTATGAGAGTTAATTCAGAGCTTGCTAGTCGAGGATTAGTATACCTAATCATGAAATATGTATTTAGCAGCCAGTATACTAGATGCTAAGTACGGTAATGGCGAGCAAAAGCGGTCATGATTCCCACCGAGGTGGAACCTACAGCCTGAAGGGGAGATGGGCATTCAACAAGCCATCAAATATGTGTGGAGATTATGAAGGGAGACGCTTGGGCCTGTGAGACAGTAAAAGGGGAACCTGATCCAGAAGGGGAAGTCTTCCGTAAATGAGTTTCTTTGGAATGGAGATACCAAAAATGAAAAATTACTTAGGAAAAGGGAAAAGAGTGGGGTGGGGCTGACGGTTTACCTGGCACATGAAGAGCATGTTAAAAGGGCTGGAGCAGGGCCGGCCGGTGGCTCACTTGGGAGAGTGTGGTGCTGACAACACCAAGTCAGGGGTTAAGATCCCCTTCCCAGTCATCTTTAAAAAAAAAGGGGGGGGGGGCCTGGAGCCACGGTGTGATTTAAGCCAAGCCGTTTACAGTTCCTGCTGGGAAGTGGAATCTGAGGTCCCACTTTTGTGCTACCGCTGTATCGCATGCAGCCTTCCTCTATTTATAGTGAATAAATGAATAAGTGGTGGTGGTAGGGACACAGCTTTTAATAGTCCCAACCTCTACAGGGCTATAGTCAGTATATTAGATCCTTCTACACAATATTGTAGTTAATTCTGTATATGGTGGTCTCTTAGTGAAGGGCAAAGACTCATTCAACTTTGTTCCTAGCACATAGTTTGCATTCATTATGTTGAATGAATAAGCAAAAATGGGAAATTCATGTGTCTTTTGGAATTTAACTGCTTATTTACCTCAGGTAGCTCATTTAGAGGAGGAACAATGAACTTTCTGAAATAGCTGCGTGTTGCTGGGAAGTCAGAATTATTGCCGTAAATTCGTTATTGCCATGTTTTTGTTTTTGTTTTTCCTTTTTTTTTTTTTTTGGTGACTGGCCAGTACAGGGATCGAACCCTGGATCTTGGTGTTAACAGCTAACCGGCTGTTTTTGCCACTGTTATTAAGATTCACTGAGAGCCATGAGGAGGAGGGATGAGGAAGAATGTGGTGTGACAAAGTTTCTAAAAACCTTTTCTTGATTCCTTAGCAGGGACAGCAAGTCCCCACCTGTGGGAATTTTAGTCAGCTCTTTGGCTCTCTCAGCCAATGTTTTACCATCTTTTTACCCAAAGCATTTTTGTTTGAGTAGTGCATTGATTGAGTTGTGAATAAATCAACTGAATTTGTGGTTAAACATAAATCTGAGAGTAAGGGTCTCATTGTTCACTGTGTACATCTTTTATTGTATCTTTCTCATATGAAGAAAACTTTAACCTGAGTAACTTAAGGTAATATCAATTACGTTCCTTTTCATTTTGCAAATTGCTTCCAAATACAGGATGGCTTTTTTTTTTTTTCCTTTTTGTCTTTT